TCAAAATATTAGATACCTTAAAAAACTTGAATAAATATTAAATAAACATTTTCTAACAAAAAGTGCAAAGTAACAAGTAGAAAAAAAGAAAAATGCACAAAGAACTTGTATGGAGATTTTTCCATCTACAGATTTTTCCCTGACCTTTTCTCTGTAAATGAAGGGTGCACACTATTGCTGAAAAACACAATCACTACTTAGCAGTCAGATGTCTGTATGCACAAAGGCACAGATGCCTAAACAAGGCCATATCTGCAGATTAAACTTTTTTTGTAGAAGCATTTCTTAATTTGAACTAGCACTTCATGACTACACCACGTTATGTACGAGAAGCTGCAAAAGACACAGGCGCAAGTGGAATGTACAAAACATGGTGACATTAATTTTTAAGTAAATATAATGTGCGATATATTGCGTCACCAAACATTATTGAGGTCATGTACATATATAAGTCGCGATAAGTCGATATATTGATTATTGCGACAGGCCTATCTGTCACGCGACTCTGTTCCCCTTTCGGACTCTGTCTTTACATTTATTTTGAAAGATGAAGCTCGCGATTATGGTAAGGGGCGTTACATTTCCGACGAGTGCTTGCAGTGTTCGACCCATCACAATACACTGGGTCAGCTGGCCAATCAGAGCAGACTGAGCTTGTCGGAAGGAGGGACTTTGTAGAAAACGAAGCGTTTGAGAGAGGCGGGGCATAGAGGACCTACAATAATGTACAGTATTTTAAAAATTATGTGTTTTTTGAACATTAAAGCATGTCAACATATTCTGTTACACCAAATACACAAAATAATGATCTTTAAAAAAAAGCATCATATGACCCCTTTAAGACTAGTGTTTCTTTTATTACACTTTATGTATTTGGATCTGTAGATTTCTATTACAATACATATTTTTAAAGGCAGTTTCCTCAAAATTAGCATTTTCTCCTGCACTAAGCCATAAATCTCTACTTCATTAGCACTAACACACACCAAACTTTACAGCTTTATCTTTATTATGAAGGTTTTTAAAGATTTTTATTCCTAACAAGGTACAAGTAAAAAGGTATTTTTTTTCCTAGCTGTTGACAGTATTTCCTGAATTATGGAGCAATAAAAAGAGATCTCCAAATTCTAATATTAAATTAAACATTTATTATTTAAACATAACATTTCAGAAAACTTTTAATAAAAATTAATTGTTTTAATCTAGAGTGATTTTTCACATAATTTACCTTTATTCCACACCGCTCTGTCCCTTCTCTGAGAAACACACTGATCATTTCCTGCTTTTATGAAGCCCCTCCCTCAGAAATACGCAATGGGCTCTGATTGGTTAGCTAGCCCAGTGTGTTGTGATTGGCTAAACCGCCTCTGGTGCGCGTCTAAATGTCCCGCCCCTCACCTCAGCGGCATGTGTGCCGGTTGTATTGTAAACAACGGTGTCGTTAATATCGTTATCAGTTTGAGCCCGATTGAGAAGCAGAGGATATTATTGAAGAGGATCGCGCAGAACCAGTGCAAGCACGGCTTTTAATGGTAGGCCTATGTTTTTTGTTTGTTGTTGTCTCATACTTTTAGATATGCTGTTATTTGTAAATGCTTCTGCTTATGTTAGCTTTTAATATACAGTTTTATCCTGATTAAAGCTTTAATACAGTACGGCAACTGCACGCACGTCCATGTTTAACGCTTCTCATAGCTATGTGAAAATAAATGTATAATTGTAACAGTTCATTGCTTGAGCTGAGCTGAATGAGAGAGCGAGAGAGATGCAGAGCGTGTGTAGAGCAGGGGGCTGCGAGGAACAGTATTAAGAACAGCTGCTTTTGAACATTGATTTTGAAACTTGTGAATCCATTAGAATCATTAGAAGACAGAATCGCGATTCATATATGAATAGATTTTTACGTGCACCTCTAGTTTTCTCTTCCTCTTCTCTAAAGCAGCGCAGCATGGCCTCGCCCCCTTTGCTGCCTTTTCCCGAGGGCGGGGTTTATCTGGGTTTGTTACCTCATGAACCCGGGAAGTAACTTGTTGTAGTCCCTACCAGCCATTTTTGTAGGCATTAAACTGACAGAATTTTTAAAAGACGATATCTCCGTTTGCATTGAACTTTCAGCTTCGTAACTTTGCAGATATTGTTTATGCTCAAACAGCAACATTACACACTAACTAACGTTATAAAAGTGAAATCACAATCAACCACCCCTTTAAAATATTCCTATCTGTATTGTCTTGCCTTACATATTATGCTCTTGAAGAGTGCAAGCAAAACAGGATATATGAACGTCCCACATGCCTTCTGTCATTTGATTGACAGTTTATGTCTTTAGCAAGTAAAAGGCCTTTTAGTACCACCTACAGGTTGCAGTACAAGTGTATTTTTGCTGTAAAATCTATACTGATCTTTATAAAGTAAACATAAGAATAAATGTAATATTGTTAGTAATAAGTGTTCAAGATGAACTTGAACAACTTATGTTGACTTAATTATCCATTCATGGTTTTTAGCAGGCTTTTGTATATTTACTTTATTATATTAGTAGGTTAACTTACATCCATTCATAATTTTTTTTAGAATAGTTTAGAAAAAAATGTGAGTATCAAATATGTCAGCAGTTCTTACCGTTCTGCAGACCCATCCACAGTTGTTTATGGTCTTTTTTCTGCATGTCGTTGATGACTTGGCTTTTGTGTTTGAGTGCATCTGCCTCTTTAATGCATGACATGAAATGCGCTTCTATCACAGAATTCGATAGGCAGTGAAGCAAGTCATGTTCTGGGAAGTTCTACAAAATAAAGGAAATTACAACTGTGGAAAATTAATTACTTCATGAAAAGTAAATGAATGAGTCTACACACCTTAAAGTGCACTGAGACATTCCAGGGCAGAGCTGTGTTTGAAGCGTGGAGATCAAACAAAACGCCAATGGGATAGTGCCTTAAAACGATGAAAATAAAGTAAACAAGGCATTAGCAATATCAATCACTGAGGTACTCAAAATATGTCAAAAATCAAACAGCTCTCATTCCTCAAGCAAGCAGAAATCTCATTCATAAGCCTTGTTTGGTCTTGCCACCTAGTGGTACAAGACAAAAGTACACCTATAACTCACCCCATTAAAGGGGTCATATGATGCGATTTCAATTTTTCCTTTCTCTTTGGAGTGTTACAAGCTCTTGGTGCATAAAGAAGATCTGTAAAGTTGCAAAGACTAAAGTCTCAAATCTAAAAAGACAGTATAAGTCATTATAATCCATAATTATGTCCCCACTGGATGCAACGAATGCCTCGTTTATAATGGGTTTTCATGTTTTTGAATCATCGCTCCGGCCTGACAGGGCATCATCACAGTATGGTGAGGGGCGTAACATTTCTGTCACACGCTTGAGGTATTCGGCCAATCACAACGCACTGGATAGCTGGCCAATCAGAGCACACCTCGCTTTTTCAGACCAATGAGCTTTGTAAAAATCGACGCGTTTCAGAAAGACGGGGCATAGAGGAGAAACAATAATGTACAGTATGTGGAAAATAATGTGTTTTTTTAACTTTAAACCGCATAAACACATTTCATTACACCAAATACACAAAATAACGTTCTTTTTAGCATCATCATATGACCCCTTTAATAGACTAACAGATACAAAGCTGCCAGGATTTGAGAGTATAAAATTCTATAAAATGGAATAAATCAGATCCGCGTACAAGTGCTGGACGTGAGTAACCACATATATGCATCAGCTAAGAAAATGCCATTGAGAAAGTAACGTAAACAGCCTCTAAATGATCAACATGACGAACACTTTCTGAAAAACTTCTTGTACACAATGTACTACATGCCTTCTGTCACTTGATTGACAGTTTATGTCTTTAGCAAGTAAAAGTCCTTTTAGTACCACCTACAGGTTGCAATACAAGTATCTTTTTGCTGTGAAATCTTAATTATTTAAACATAAGAATAAATGTAATATTTCAAGATGAACTCTTACTGAACTTGAACAACTTATGTTTACTTATTTATCCATTCATGATTTTCAGCAGGTTTTTGCATATTTACTTGATTATCCATACATCATTTTAGTAGGATAACTTTCATTTTCTAGAATATTTTAGAAAAACAATGCGAGTATAAAAAATATGATCCATCACGCTTTTGAGGAACACATATTTGTACTATGGTAGTTTCTTAGCTGGTGCATATAAATCATTAGATCTGATTTATTCCATGTTATAGATTTTAATACTCTCAAATCCAGACAGCTTTGTTTCTGTTAGTCTGGTAATGGTCGGTGCAATGTATTGCGTTCCATTATTTGTTCTGAAACTACAGACTTCTGACTTCTTCCTAAGACATGATATTGGAAAAAAAGTGACAACTGATATTCATATGCATTTTGTATAAGTGGCCTGCATTCAGCCTTAATTGCTTCTGTACCTCAATTAGTTGAGTAGCTGTGTAAGTGACTTTGGATAAAATCATCTGCCATATTCATGAATGTGAAAATGAGTTTAGATTAAATAAGAGGTTTGACAACACATTGTCAACTCGTCATACCATTTGAGAGGTGTTCCCTCATATTCAAACCACATCTCCTCCACGTCTTCTGCCTTCATGACTCTGAGAAAATGTTTCTTGACTTTATCAGTGACTAGCGTCAGGTAACTGACCCGTGGGAGGAGCAGCTGACAGATTGAAAGAGAAAAACAGCACAGGTCAGGTGACATGAAACTAACCATTCCACAGCAGAAAGAAAGTCTGTCATCTCAACTGACATAGTAGGGTTCTGCCTCTCTCTCTGTGGTTTCCTCTGGAGACAGTGTGAAACAGGCCGGTATCCTTCCGAACCAAACATCTCGGAGCACATCCTTGTCATCCGCCATTATCATCTTTCTCCAGGTGACACATGTAATGTCTTCAGTTACTGAGCTGTTCAGAACACAGAATTTCAATATTTCATAACACCAAGATATCAAGCGGTTCTGACAGTAACTTTAGTGATTTTAAGTAAGTGTTTGAATATGATCAAATACATTTACAACTGGGGAAACCACTAAAAGTTAGTCTCATGTAAGAATCCTAAACACTGCACACAGCAACACTGGCTCAACTAGTGACCTGCGTTTTGGTGGAACTGTGATTATTTTCGCAATTCAGAAAGTAAACAATTCACATTTCAAATAATGACATAGACAATATTAAGAAGAAACCTAAGAAACCCAATCAGCATCTGAAAATGGATATTCATATGGCCACGAACGCGTGGTTGATAGTTAACCACTTTAATTTTCACTAACTTTACTACTTTCTTTTTTTACTTCTTATGGAACATTTGAGATGAGAAAATGGTTTTATCAAATAAATTGTAGGGTTGTCAGAATTGCTCATTTGAGATATTTATTAAAATATTGTAACTTTTTTTTTTTTTTTTTTTTACTGAACGTAATACTTTCTCCCGTTTCGTTCTCTTTGTAAACACTGATTGAAAACCATGCTATAATCAATTGTTTTATTCCATTGACAACCCAAGTTTTTGAACATGCTACACATTTGTCTCAGACAGTGTTGCCAACTTAGCCATTTTGTTGCTAAATTTAGCAACTTTTCAGACGAGCCTAGCAACCGTTTCTTCCAAAAGCACCAAATTTAGCAATTTTAAACATTTATTTGGCAACTTTTGATAAGGACTCAGACAATAAAAAGGCACACAGTCCATCCAAATGACTCAAAAAGAGGAAACCACAGATGCCTAGCAGTACACACATCACGTGAATCGAGTTAGCTGCTATTTGCAATTGTTCAATTTAATAATAATTGAATAATTTGACAATTGAATAATTGTTCATTTATGATACACTTTGTTAGTAGCTTGTACCTGCGATTGTTGATCAGTTAGTACACTGTAAGAAAAATGGAAAATCTTCCAGGACATTATCCATCATCCTTTGTAACCCTGTAACCCGAAAATACAATGCGTAAATTAAAATACAGGTAAAAAAAAACATTACAGAAAATTATTTCATATTAACATAGTAGATTGTGCCTTATTTTTACAGACTTTTCTTAGAGTGTAGCATACTAACTAACTACTAATACACTGCTTAAAGCATAATTGTTGAGAATGTGTAGAGTTTACTAGCTACTAAAAAAAAACTTAAATTGTAATCAGCTGACGTTTTCAATAATTCAATGCATTTAAAAATACAGTTACTTATATTTTAATCTTATATCATGCATATTATTTTAAAAACAAACCTAAATTAACATACATAAAATAAATGTTTTGCTGAGATTCGATGACGTGACCATTTTGCGTCGTGATTACGCAATGACGTCATTGAGCCATGACATCACAACGTCATTTAGCAACTCTTAGCAACAAATCGACCTTCCTTTAGCAACTTTCTCTGAAAATGAGTTGGCGACACTGGTCTCAGAATGAGAGCAACATTTTAAACACCACAGAAAATGATCTGGGACGAGCCATAAACCCAAATACGTATTAAAAACCTCTTTTCGTATCTCATCAAGTGCTCTAGAGAATACAGAAAGCACCTTCTAGCCGAAATGACTCCAGAAATAATCATTAACAGAGGAAATTAAATGCAAACTATTAGCTCTGCTAACACTGGGTCTAGTATTAGCATTTAACATTGTTTATGGCATACAGAAGAACCATCGACACGCTGTAAAACCGCATGTAAATCAGGTATTAGTGATATTTAGTCGCGTTTCTGAGGCTGTAAACTATGATAATGTTTGTGTAAATGCAGCTAGCACTGACAGAACATTACACACGGCGACGCCTTTGGAGCAATTAACGATACCGAAATGACTCGAACTCACAAACTACTGTATCCACACATTAATAACAGACAGAAACAGAATAATAAATTACATTCATTAGATGTCTATAGGAAGCATTGGAGTCGAGCTCATCTTTAACACCAAGCGATGTCATGCATCCCTAAAATGGCGCGTACCTTCAAATTAAAAGTCTCTACACGTAAAACGCGTTCATTGTTTTTCACAATAAAAGTCGCAGTCTACAAAAGTTGATAGAATTACAGTTCCGTTCAATTTATAAGTTGAGGGAATGTTGGAGGAATTTCAGTTTGCATACATTTGAGTCATAACATTACTAGTAGTATGAAAAAGAGATCCCTTCAGTCCGATAGATGGCGTTAAACGAAAGGAAAAATGTTGCGCATGCGTGGTACTTTCTATCGACACTGCGCATGCGCGTTTTGCACATGGAGGCAGTGTGAGCTGTATTAATTGTTGATGGCGTTTTAGGCAAACACATAAGACGTTTGGATTTTGCTTTCACATAACAAGTATATTTCTTAAGGCTCGCATAAATGTGTCACTGGTTTTTAAATTTAAGTAAGATTTGTAAAGTTCTATCTTCTAACTTTACTGTTTTGTTGATTTTTTTCGGCACAGGCAGTGTGCTGGATCAGTCTCTAGAGAGTCTCCTACATCGACTCAGAGGTCTGTGTGATAACATGGAGCCTGAGAGCTTTGCTGATCATGAGCTGGTGTATCTCCTGAAGGGTCAACAGGGTAACCCGTTCATGCTGCGTGGGCGCCGCTCGCTTCTTCACCCCACTGCCCCTTGGCATCTGCGCTATCTAGGTCAGCCAGAGGTGGGCGACAAAAGCCGTCATGCCTTGGTGCGAAACTGTGTGGATGTGGCTGCCTCACACAGCTTACCGGAGTTTCTCAATGAGATGGGTTTCCGCATGGACCATGAGTTTGTGGCCAAGGGTCAAGTGTTCCGGAAGGGTGCAATGAAGGTGGTAGTGAGCAAACTGTTACGTGTCCTGGCGACAGGAAACACGGAGAACACAGAGCCGCTGTCTCTGTCATATATTGTTGAGCTGAGCGTACTGGCTCCTGCAGGACAGGACTTTGTGTCTGAGGATATGAGAAGCTTCGCAGAACAGCTGAAACCTCTAGTGCACCTGGAGAAAATTGACCCTAAAAGACTTATGTAGTGTGACTTCATTTGAGACTTTTGCTTGTGTTATTATGATGATGGGTATTTTATACTAATTGATTGATAAACATTCAAAACATGTATTTTTAGTAACTAAGTAAGTCTAAAATAACTGAATGATAAAAAAATGTGACAAATAAAACTTTCATTTGTGTAATTTCCTCCCTTTTTACCACTTGATGATTTCAATTCTTAAACTATTATTTAAAAAACCAATGCTTCATGAGACTTAGACAGAAAGTTCATCTGTGTAAATGAATTGTTGCTTTTGACTTTAAACAGCTGGTATGCCAAACGGTCTGTGTTTAAACAACATCCGTCCAAGCCTACAATTTCCCTAATGATTTCATTTTCAGCATTATTAGCCTACTCCAGTCTTCAGTGTTCTGAAGTACTTATTTGGGGCTGGTTAGTAAAGTTTTGCAATCACTATGGCACATCCAGTAAGAATGCAAGGACTCTGATGTTTCTTCTTCAACATTCTTCACTGTAGATGCAAGTATATGTGTGGTTTTCTAGCTGCACGCACAAACTGGAAATAAACTTGTGGAGAACACTCATTAGCTCCGCACTAAACTTTCTGATGCAACGCACTTCTTTTTCCTTCTAGCGGAACTACTTTCATGAGCTGTACTGATTCATAGTTCCAGCTGTCAATTAAAAACCCACCAATTGCATTCACTGTCTATTGTTAGTTATCACAGTCCTTTACAACAGCCACCCCTGAATTTGCACAGTCAAATTCATCTTTATTTAGAAGGACTTGTCTCCGTTTTGTCAGTGTTATGGATGGATGGTAATTTAATAAGACAAGCTGCTGGTCTGGTGTATACTTTGTCTTTGTCTGTCCTAATCAGTCCATTAGGTCCAGGAAAGACATTGGTGATCTGTCCTACTGGCCAGACAACTCTGGGTAGTTGAGGGTCTAGGATCATCATGATCATGCCAGGCTGTAAGTAATCAGTGTCTTTCTGCCACTTGGAACGGGTCTGTAGGTTAGGAAAGTAATACTTGATGAATTGTCTCCAAAACTGATCCGCGAGGACTTGCATGTGCCTCCATCTACGACGACTTAAAAGTTCTGATTCATGGTAGACAGCCTGGGGGAGCGATGAATCGAGTGCCCCATAAGCAGAAGATTGGGTGTGACGGGATTGGGGTCTGCAACATCAGTTGATGCATAACCCAGAGTTTTTGAGTTTAAGATTGCTTCCACTTCCATCAGCACTGTCCTTAATACCTCCTCGGTCATGCTTTGAATTTTCAAAGTGGCATATAGTGCAGACTTGATGGATCTTATTTCTCGTTCCCAAGCTCCTGGACTACTAGGGGTGTTGAATTGAAACTGGATTTGTTCTTTCGCCAGTTGTACTTGCAACAAAGGATTCAAGGCTTTAGAGGCTTCCTGGAGTTCTCTTTGCACACCTTTGAAAATAGTGTCTTGATCTGAAAGTAGCTCAGACGGCTTACCTCTACGAGAGATAAAACGATGCAGTGCCATCAGAAAGGAGTCTGTATCAAGACTGTGTAGGAGGTCTATGTGGATGGCACGAGTGGTGAGGCACATGAAAAGGATGCCCCAACGCTTTTCATTGTGTCTTCCTGCTTTCACTGTAAAGGGACCAAAACAGTCCATACCAGTAGAAAAGAAGGCAGGCTTAAACAGTTGCAGTCTAGCTTGGGGTAGGTCTGCCATTAGGGGCACAACTGGCTTGGCTCTCCATTTTTGGCCATCAAAACAAGAGTGTTGCTGTTTTTTAACAGCTGCTCTACCTCATCATACTGTTCTGCCAGGGAAGCCATTGTGTCTGAATAAGTTCTCTTTGAATTTATGTAAGATTCTGCTATCAGAAAGGCATCCTCGAATTTGAGATGATCTATGACAGCGATGTCCAATCCTGCTCCTGGAAGGGCCGGTGTCCTAAGAGTTCAGCTCCAACCCCAATTAAACACACCTGAACCAGCTAATCAAGGTCTGATTAGGCATACTAGAAACTTTCAGGCAGGTGTGTTGAGGCAAGTTGGAGCTAAACTCTGCAGGACACCGGCCCTCCAGGACCGAGTTTGGACACCCCTGATCTAGGAGGATCTGATATTTAAATACCTCCATGGCATCTTGAGGCAGAATATTATCCAGGGAGATCTTCAATCTTGCAAATTCTCGTGGGTCCCCTTTGGTGAAATCTGGAATTGTGGGCTTAGGACCTCTATATAATTTCTCTTGCTGAGGGTTGTGGAAGTCCTCACCAGTCTCCTTGTGATACTGCATACTGACATGAGGAGGTATGGGGGGATACCTGGACTGTCTATCAGTGTCATGTGCCCTCTGCACATCAGATGCCACTGAAGAACCGTCATCTGGGTCAAAGTATTCAGGAGTCGCTGGACACAAAGGTGGGTGTGATGGCCTGCCTAGTCTATGCAAACATTCAGTTAATTCCTCCACTAAGTCTGGGATAGCTGCTGTTGGAGGTGGATGTAGTGGTTAATTCACTGCAGTTTGAGGAAGTGGGACCTCATCAGCTACTGGTAGAGGTGGGGGTGGCCAATTGTCCTGCGTGTCATTTCTCATTGCATGTCTAAGACTGTAGATTGTAGTTTCTGATTCTCTGTCTTGAGCTGTTGAATAGCCTTCAATATCTCCAAGGATACATCCCCTGATATACTGTGGTGAGGTACAGGTGTGCTGTCATACATCTGTTCAACCTGGCCAGAATGGGTAAACGGTCTCTGCCTGCGTCCAGCTGAAGTGTCGAAGTGTGTGATGAGTGAGGGGGGTCATCTCGGCTACCCTCTCAATACGATGATAAGGCTCCTGTACCACTGTGGTGGGACGCATAGTTTGAACAGCAGGTGAAGGTTGATCATACTGCGGGAGAGAAACATCATAATCTTCCAACCAGGCTGGTGGTAGCACTCGCCGTTTAGGATGCACATCAGCAGGCCTTCCTTCTCTACTCCTCTGGTCGGAGGACATCTTTATAAATTCCACAGAAAAACATCATATGTTCAAGTACACTGATATTCTATGGTAAAACAAGCTCTTTGACTACCGATGAAGGTTTTTTTTTCTTGAATACATGGAAAGGAGCAGCAAACACTTAAATATTAGGTATGGTTTACTTGTTGAGCAGAATCTGTTTTCAGGAATGACTCAAAGTCTTTTCACATCTCTGGGGTTAGATCAGTGTGCTCAATAATGTGTCTTTGACCTCCATAATGTATGTTTTGATTATACTGTGTTGTAAATAAAATACAAATGATTAAATCTCCTAAACACACATTCTTACCTGCCTCAAAGTAACAGTTACACTGATGGGCCATTAGGGGAGGGCCCTTTGTCTCTCAGGTGTGAATCATTAAGCATTAAAGGGGTCATATGATGTTGCTAAACATAACAGTATTTGGTGTAATGAAATGTGTTTATGCGGTTTAAGCTTACAAAAACACTATTATTTTCCACATATTATACATTATTGTTTCTCCTCTATGCCCCGCCTTTCTGAAATGTGTCGATTTTTACAAAGCACATCGGTCTGAAAAGCGAGGTGTGCTCTGATCGGCCAGCTATCCAGTGCGTTGTGATTGGCCGAATACCTCAAGCGTGTGATGGAAATGTTACGCCCCTTACCATATTTTGATGCCCTGTCCGGCCGGGGCGACGAGACAAAAACATTAAAACCCATTATAAACGAGGCATTTGTTGCATCCAGTGGGGACATAATTACAGATTATAATGACTTATACTGTCTTTTTACGCATTGCGTTGCATCATGTTGAGTTGCATCGCGCCGCGTAAACATAAAACCATGCCTGCCTTTGTGATCGGAGAAATGACAAACAACAAGTGCTACTCTACACTGCTCAAAACTTGAGTTTGAACCATCAGTGGCAAATTCTTTAAATATAAAAAACATACTTACAGTCTGTGAGTCAGAACAGCCGGCATTGTAGTATGCTCTACCAGGATCAGGAAACAGTCCTCCATAAAATGCGCTGAACACATCTGAATATATTTGGGTTGAACTGTTCTGGAACAGTGTTGTAAACTTAACCACTGATTTCTAGTCGTGTCCTCTTTT